CGAAATTAATTTGCATGGTTAGTTTCAGAAACTCATAACAAACATGAATCAATAGACAAAAATTGCAAATTATGCACAAATCATGATGCACGGTTCTGAAAATTTCTGGACACAGTTGAGGTTCGTTTTACCAGTTCTTGGAGTTTAGAGGGATGATTCTGATTGGAATACACTCAATAGACCTTGAGCAAGCTATTGGAATGAAAATTAAGCTTTGAATCGCCCTCTATCAATGATTTCAGTTTTTGTGTTTTTTTGACAATTTTTCAAGTCTTTCAATGGCTCTTTAGCGCAGCTTTTAGTCTATGCATTAGGTTTAGGTTTCTGATTATGTAGTGAAGCTATTAGGTTAATAAAAGTAGAACAAATCCATGGCATTGATAGTTTTCAATATTTGATTTTTCACCATTATGTTTCATATCTTTTTCACATGGTTTTTGTGTCAATTATGCTCAAATCAAACCAAATCTTTCCTAATTAGCCTATGCACGAAATCTTGATGGCAAAACATGCATGAAAAGATTTTTTAGGTCAAGTTATATATTTTTCATGTATTTAAATAATTTAAATGAATTAATATAAATAATAATTCAAATAAATAAATAAAAAATGAGAAAATACTTCCCTTTGGGCCAAGTGGTCGTGCATATGCTTGGAATGATGAATCATGGAAGAAAAATGGGCCCATTAGCAATTTTAGGTCATTTGAAGTAATGTTGACTTTTCAAAATATCCAAAAATTTCCCAACTTCCACAAGGCATAACTTGCTCAATTTTTAAGCTTTTCTCATGTTCTTGGACATTTTGGAAAGGTCTTTGAGTCCTCTAACCAATGTCTTTGGTCCCATGTCATTTTAATTTACCAATCTCAAGTTATGGCCTTTGACTTAAAGTCCCTTTTTGTTGACTTTTGAAAATGACCTATAATGTTGAAATTGATAACTTTTTGTGAGAGCATTTATTGGACTTGAAGTATGAAGATGAGTTGTAGGAAATGTCTTTCTCTTCAAAATGAGCTTTGGATGGGATTTTTCTGACAATCCATGTGAAAGTTATGCCCTGGTCAATTTCAGTTGACTTTTTCAACTGTCCAAATATAGTAACTTTTGCATCTTTGATGATTTTCTGAGCCAAATTTTGAGAATCATGATCAAGCATTGATCAAATGATGTTTTTGGCTTCAAAATGATATGTTGACCAAAAATTTGAACTTTTGACTGCCAAATGACCATTTTGCCCCTACAGTTGACTGTAGTGCAATTTAGGGTTTTGACTGTGCAATTTTGAGCTGAATGTCTTGAAACTTGATATGAGGATACTTGACCATATTTGTAAGCATATGAGACTTGATTGGGCCTTTGAAAACTTCATTTTCTTGATCAGAACCCAAACCCTAGTTTTGACTGTATAGGAGACCTTTGCACTGTGCAACCCTTGGGGAATTTTGCAACTTGACTTGGCAATTTCTTGAAGAATATGGGAGGGCAAATTTTGGGGTGCAACAGGTTGGACATTTTTTTAGTTCGGGCAAAAACTGAACTGAACGAATAAAAATTAATATTAATTGGTTCGGGCATCAAATTTTTAATATGCTACCCGTAAGCTCGAATCAAATCAATAAAAATCAACATAATTAATTCATATATTAAATTACTAATTTTAATTGAGTTATTACTTATTTATTTGAATAAAGAGAATAATTGTTATTTCAATTACCAAGTACCAACGGTAATGAAAGAAATCAAGAGTTCTAAAAATTATGAAGCATCAACAGTAATGATTGTCTCTCGATATTTTCGATGAAAAATAAACGACACGATATCATTCAAATTATCAGAACCAACCATATCAATCAATGATACCACACATCACAAATATTATTAAATATAAATTGAAATACAACAGCTATATGAAGCTATATGACCATGGTGGTGGTCATAACTTGTTTAAAGATATGTGTGTCATGTATTTAATATTTAATTTTCATATTTTAGTGTGTAAATAAATAATTCTAAAAAAATATTTTCGTATATTTATTTTTAATATATCCGATCAATCCAATACAAACCAATGTGTTATTTTTATGATCTATTTGGTTTGGACTTTATTACAAAAATATAGAAATCCAATCCAAACTAATCCATTTTTCTTTCACTGGTTCGGATATCAGATTCTCTTAAAGCCGAACCAAATCGACCCACAAACACCCTTATTCTTCCTTAGACCAGTCCTCTTCTAGCTTAGGTGTTTCCTTCCCACCTTTTCCCTTTACCACAGGGTGTTGTTCCCAACCTTTCGCGCCTTCCAATAATTATAGTTGGTACCATCCAGAATGGATGGTCGGTTAGTATTTCCTCCTTTTTTGTCCATAGTGCCAGAAAATATCTTCTCTGGAGATCATTCAAAAAAACAAAACAAGGTGCCTACTCTAATGTCAATTTAAATTTTGGCACAACACGATAAATGTCGTATACGATATCACGACATTGGAAGGTCAAATCGCAATGTCGAGTACAATGTTAAGACATTGTAACAATATATAAAACAATAAACAATTTCAAGTACTCTGCAGAAAGTAAATAAAACAGGTTAGTTGTTAATCCAGTTCGGTGCAACATCACCTACATCTGGGGGCATCCAAGTCAGGAAGGAATTCACTATAGTAGTATTAGTTTGAAGTTCTAAACAACCTCTGGTTTTACAAACTTCGCACCTAATCACTACCCATGTAATTTCTATCTAAGACTCTCCTAGATATGAGATCATTTTCACTTCCCTTCAATCACACAGTTGTGATGACAACAATAATAACAAAAAGAAGACACAATTCCAATGAAACATAGTCCACTCTTGCTTAAAAGCTTATGAGTGATTCACAATTACAACTCAAAATTCAGTATAACTCAAGTATCAAAGAGATACAAGAGTGGCTCACAAAAAATAAAGAACAAACTAAATCCTATTGGATATTCTCACACTTGCGTCTTCTACCTTCTTCAGATTTAAAGTCTTTCTTTTTATAGCTAGAGAAATAACTTGGGGGCTTGAAGATTGAATCAGACTAAAATAATCTGCAAATCAAATCAAATCTTCAGCAAGATATTTTGGTGCAAAATATAATATTTCCTTGAATGTCACGACATTCAATCTTGAGAAACAAATCAAATCAGATCTTTCGCTTGACATAAATCTTTAGTGAATCAATCTTCATATTGCAGCTTAGTCCACACGAAACGTAAATCAAATCTTCACTGATCTTGCGCAAAAAAAGAAATCTTCACAAATGTAAAACAACTTTTAAGCTACGATGTCGTACCAACATGTCAGGACATCTTGTCCAACATCTTGCTGAAGTACTTGTTTTAACAAAATGCAGTCAACACAACAAAAACTAACAAGTTATTTTAATATGGAAAATTTTTAATTTTCCTACACCATTTTCTTTTTATTTTATTAGGAAAACAACATGTCGGGTCACCACAGTCACTTGTGGTTAGGTGTATTATAGAATTATCACGACCTAGATGCACACTAGACTGGATTCGATCAATTTTGACAGACCGTAAGATCAAGGAACCTAAAAGATCTCTTGACACTTTTTTAGAGAAGTTTTTAGGGGTCTCTAGACCTTAAACTCTTGCTATAAAGTTTAACTAACGATTCAGACTCTTATACAATAAATTATAAAATTTCACATTCACATTCGCAATCTCTATTGACATGGCCGTTAGAATGTTAGTAGATACACTATGAACTACCAACTTTTGAGAGTTAGGAATCTATGGACTTTGCCAAACATTTTGTCACTGTTCATGTACTCAGGTCTAACTCATCAAAAAAAAAAATTAAATAATAATTTTTCATTTTATGTTTAGCCCTTCTAAATTTTGTTGTTGTTGTTTATTACGAATATACTATATTTCATTATGTATGTCTTAGTTTCTATAAAATCTGTTCATATTAAAATTAGAAAAAGAATTCAATAAATATATAGTATATGAATTTTCTCCTCAAAATCATATTTGATTTTATATTAGTTCATATTTGATTTAACAAGAGACATTTAAATCCATAAATTAGGCTTAAATCAACCAGCATCAATATTGTTACTGCTTTTTTGTGGTGTTCCTGCAAACACAAAAAACATATCAAAAAGTTTACCAGATTGCTTTTTATCTATGCTTTGGAGTGTTATATTTTCGCCGCTAGAAATGTTTGTGTTTTGGATACAACTTGACCATGTATAACACCAGAATCACGCAATTGAGAAAAAGTCACGTGCTATATGATTTTATGGTGCTTATTCCCTAATATCAATAACGTACACGCAAGTAATGATTTTATTTTACCAAACTATAGTGGTTACATTTATATAAGGGTGGCAAAACTAGTAATTTAGGGAGCCGAATCAAAATTTTAAACCCACACTCTTTAATATATCATCTCATCATGTTCTATCCTATTTTTTCGGATTTTTACTGTCGCAGATATTAACATAATTTTTACAATTTTTAGGTTTTAAAATATATTGTCGGCGAGACCACCCTACCCTACCTTAATTCTTTGCGAAGAGGATCATGGTTTCAAGTCTAAGCCTTCCCTACTAAAATAAAGTGGTCACATGCTCGTTTGCTACCTATCTAGTTCTTAAATATTTTCCAAACATTTGCCAATGCAAATTAAGTGGTCACATGGTTCCTAACTAAAATAAAACAAAATATTCTTGCAAAAGCTTGAGGAACAAATGAATAACTGTGATTAATGGAAGAATAACATTCCACCAGAAAATACTTATAAAGCATTGCCTAAGGTAGGCATGCTAGAAAATGTGAATAAAATGCCTATCATAGGAAATTGTAATTTCTAAAACTACACTACATTGCTAGTTCTGAGATCTAACCACTAACGATTTGTCTAACACTACTTGTTTAGTCCTAAAAATTCTAATTTAATTTTCCATCAGAACATTCTAATAATTGATTATGCCAAAGCAAGTTTATCTACACTTCTTCATCATAATCTTCCATATCTTCATCAATCCTATTACTTAAGCTGGCTAGTTGTATGGGATCAATAGCCATTTTTTCCATATCAGATAAGGACCATCCAGGGTATTCCTCAATCTTTTCTTCAGAAATTGATTTTCTAGGCTGTGAACAAGATGGGACAGGAGCTGGTGCGGATAAAAAATCCATGTTCTCGTCTGGCTCCAAATTTAAATCGAAATTTCGAACGACGACCGGTTTTCTGACTGGTGAACTCTGCTTTAATTCCTCGGGTTGTCTTACTGGTGACCTCGGCTTAACTTCCTCGGGTTCTGGCACACTTTCCGGGCTTTCATTACTTTGTGTGTGGCTTCCGTTTTGTTTTGAGGCTTCGGAATCTTCTTCAAATTTGACATGTGAACAGATCTCTTGATCGACAGCTTTATTTCCACGACCACGGCCACGACCCCTGCGTCTACCCCTACCTCTTCCTCTTCCTCTTCCTCTTCCATTGCTATGTGAATGTTCTGGCTGTGCATATTATGAAAAAAACCTCATTATTCAAATAATATTTAACATTGACCAGTAGCCATATGAGTAATAAATTGCAGAAAAGGCATTTGCATTCACAAGCCATTTTGTGAAATTCCATAATCACTTAAATGAACATCTTTTGTTATTGACATTTTCAAAACAGTGTTGTAAAATAGTGACTATAGAGGTAAAGAATCGCAGAATATCAACAAACCGCCTTTGTTCTGCGATAGACGATTTATTACAATGTGTTGTCAAATAGCGGACACAGCGGTGCTATAGCACTTTAGTGTAGCGGAATTTGAACAAACTACTATTTTCCTCAATCCGCAATTGACAACACTGCATAAGAAAACATATATGCAAGGTCATGTGCAGGGACATTACTCAGCAAAGGTTTGAAAATGAAAACTTATATTACCATTTTATTTCCCTTGGTCTCTCCGTCGCTGTCATTATCATCATCTTCAGCAACTTTCCTAAAATACAACAAAAACAATCAGCATACAGAATTCGCCCAAGAAATAAGAGGAGCGGGAGCGAGCAATCAAACACAAACCTCCTCTTAGTGACCGTTTGGTTGTCGCCAGTTGCAACAGAACCACCTAAATCAGGAACCTTGCTCACAATATCTTTCAGAAAATCAAATATATTAAAAGTTTGTACGCACTGTTTTCTGCAAATCCAAAAAGACATGTGAATCAGCTTTTTAGAACCGATAAAGAAGATAGAAACACTAAAACAAACAAATCATGGTCCAACCGCAAGACAAATAAACTAATAGAAGTTCCGTTCCGCTTACAAATGAAAAGCATTCATAGTCTTTGCTCCCCTCCTAAGTGTTACATCATATGTCTTATCACACAGATCTTGCAGAAATAGTTCTAGTGCTTTCGCTGCAAATACATAAAAACACTATGATTAATATAAGACATAACTTAATACAAGCACCCAAAAGAGCAGTACAAAAAAATCATGTCTCAAAAAAAAATAGGCATGAAACTACTTACAAACTAGAAGAGGCACAGCCATAGCAATCTTCCCTATATCTTCATCAGCTTGCATAATTTTCTTAATCCTACCCTGCCAATAATCCAAGACGCTAAAAGATCATTCAGTTTATAACAGAAAAACACAAAAATTGAATCATGAAAAGATAAATTTCTAACAAACAAGAAAAAAATCTAAAAGGAGAAAACATAGGGTTATTGCCTGCAACGCCATCTGCTATTTCCGCATAGAAGATTTTTGACATTCTACACAGCATGACGGTCTTGTTTACAATATAGAAAACATGACCTAAACGGTGCCAAATCACATACCGTGTCATATGCCATAACAGGTAAATGATATTCCACAATGAAACCAAAGCACATTGCTTCTTCACAAAGAAACCAAATATCTCCAAACAAAGACATACAAACACAAACAAATTTGTACAACACGAATCCGCAAGTCAAACACAGGTACAATAAACAAGATCTCCTAATCGGATACGCACCGATTAGTAATCGCATTTCACAATTCATAACATTTTCTTTTACTAAATAAGTTTCACTACGTCAAATTTAAATAAATGTTTACTCGCATCAGAAATAACAAAACTTCTTTCATTCAAAATAACATCTACTCGCATTCAGTTCTTCAAGAAACAAGATTTCATACTCTAAAAAGTAAATTGCAGGTTGCAGAACATATCATATGGTTCAAATTCCGCTACGCAACATCGCCATAAGTCCATAACACACTATTCAAGAAAATTCTGCACTAAACAGTACATCAAAAAAACTATAACAATCTGTTAATTACTTCATGAACAAACTCAACGATTCCATAACCAGAAACCACCACTACAAACTTCCCTATCCCTAGTATCAACAAAAAGCAAGTTTAACATCATAAAATTCAAAAACCTAAATTGAAAAAAAAAACAGAATGAAAATTGTAGAACTTACAGCAGGAAAACGAGTATCAAGTTTCTTCTTCATCTTGTTGTGAAGAATGTGAAAACAAAAAGAAAGCGTTGGTTTTATAAAGAGGAATGAGATTAAACGCTAATGAAGAAGATGAAGAAACAAGGTTTTTGATATTCTGGTTTTCATTTGGTTAACGTGTTGTTGTTGTTATTAAAAGAGTTTCTTTGTTTCCCTCTTTTTGCACGAACGGTTTATTCTAATTCTAGACTCTCTTTTTCAATATTCAACCCTTTTTGTTTTTTTCCATGTTGACCATAACAAAGAAAATCATTTTTAAAGAAAATACAATTGACTATCTTTTTTATTTTATTCTTTTGAACCTAAATTACGCTGTAAATTTACAAGGGTAATTAATGTGATTTGATTTTTTTAATTTTTTTTGAGAACAATCTTTTTGACCTAATACACTTTTCGATTCTTACCAAAAATATATATGTACAGATTTTTATTTTGTTTAAGTTTGAGAAAAATCTTTTTGACTTAATATAGGAAATCTTTTAATCAAATTTTGGTCTATAAAATTGATTTAATCAATTACGATTTTTTATTAAAAAAATTATGTGTAATCATGTTACATTCAAATCAAATAGTGATAGTGATGGTGGAAAAAAATTATGTGTAATCTTTTAATTTATTTTGTATCTTTTTGATTTTATATTAGATAGTTTAGTGAATCAAATCAAATAGTGATAGTGATGGTGGAAAAAAATGATAATAATTTATGTGCTTTCATGTTACATTCAAATTAAAATCAATTTGTAATTTATTTTATTATTTAACTCTTAAAATATCTATATAAATTGAGTAAGAAAAAAGAAATATAAATAATAAATATTCATATGGTGTACTATTATCACGGAAGGTCCGTGTAAAAAGAAAATAAATTAATTTTTTATTTGTATTGAAAAATAAATGTTAAATTATATGATATTATAATAAGATAAATAAATAAATTTTTTGCATCTTTATTTTTTGTATTTAATATTTTATATAAAATGATTTTCTACTTCTTATTCTTAATAATTGATTTTGTTTGATTTTCATATGAAAACTTTTGTATATTGTAACCAAATTTAATTTTTTTAATATTAAATAATTATATTTAATCTAAATTTTAATATAGCTATGTTTTTTATATGAACACTTTTTTTTTTATAACGGTAGTTGAAAGAAGAATACAATGATTCTCAAAAGAAACTATATCATAATATTGAGGTAAACTAAAATGCAAACATTAACTTTTTTTTTAAATAAATATACAAGGATAAGATAGGCACAAGGTGTACCTAGTATTTTTATTTTTTTTTAATTTTACAAGGTGTACTTAGTTAAAACAGAAAGAAAAAAAAGAAAAAAATTATATAAAAAACCAAACAAAAGCACGTAGATAATCTGTCGGTATAGAACCATCAAACATAATAATATTTAATGCGGAAAAATTTTAAGTACACATAGAACATTGTGAAAAAGGATTTGGTGGCAGCCATATAGGACTTCTTTGAGCATAATCACTTGTTTGCAGTTGTTACTTTGATCCCAAAATTTCTGATGCTAGATATATTAAGGACCTCAGACCAATAGCTTGTTGTATCATAGTCTATAAGATAATATTCAAAATTTGACAACAAGACTTAGCAGCGTGATTAATGAAGTTATTGATGATAGTCAATCATCATTTTTGCCTTGTAGAATGATCCATGACAACATCCTTATGGTGCATGAGTTGTTAAGAGGATATAGTCAAAAACATATCTCGTCTAGATGTGTCATTCAAATGGACATACATAAGACTTATGATACAGTAAAATGGACTGCCTTAGCCGCTATTATGAAAAAACTAAATTTCCCTAGAAAATGTATCGACTGGATTATGAAGTGTGTTTGTTCTATTTCGTACAGGTACTCTATTAATGGTCAGGTTTCAGACTTGCTTAAAGTTAGGAGGGGTCTAAGACAGGGAGATCAAATATCTCTCTTACTTTTTGTCCTAATTATGGAATACCTGCATATATGTTTGACAAAGTTGTAACTGAACCAGAACTTCAAGTTTCATCCCAGGTGTGCTAAACTCCATATTACAACAATCAACTTTGTTGATGACCTCGTGATGTTTGCTAAAGGAGATGTCCAATTTATTAATAGTATGATGGATGCTTTCAAGAAATTTTCTCAGGCTACATGCTTAAAGGATCACCCCTCAAAATGTAAAGTATATTTTAGAGGAGTTCACCCCAATGTGAAGCAGGAGATCATTGATAACACGGGGTTCATTAAAGGGCATCTTCCCTTTCGATATTTGGGAGTTCCTCTATCTAGCAGAAGGCTCACCATTCAACAATGCTACCCCTTGATTGAAAAAGTTGTTGCTCATATTAAGTATTGGTACGCTAGACTTCTGAGCTATGAAGGAAGATGTTCACTTATTAAAAGTGTTCTGTTTGCAATCCCAGCTTACTAGTTGTAGGTTCTTCCTTTACCCAAACAAGTCAGAGAGTGGGGAAAATTTGTTCATTTATCTGACCGTCTCCATCGAGGCCGTAAGTGCGGCCCTCGTCTGCGAGACACCAGACGGGAAAAAACCAGTGTAATTTACTTCCAAAGAGTTACAAGGCCCCAAGGTAAGATATCAATAAATTGAAAAGGTAGCCTTAGCCCTCATCAACACGACGAGGAGACTCAGATATTACTTCCTGGCCCACACAGTCTTCGTGCAAACAGACTAACCCATGAGACAACTCTTAGGTCGACCAGACATGGATGGTTGAATGTTTAAATGTTCCCTAGAGCTTTTGGAGTTCGACATTCAGTATGAAAGTAGGAAAGCCCTTAAAGCCTAAGTGTTGGCCGACTTCGTTGCGGAGATGACCATCCACGAACCCCCTACGGGCGGGAAACACAAATGGATCATCTTCATGGATGGAGCTTCCAGCTCGACTGAAAGTGGAGTAGGAACCCTTCTCTAAAATGAAGAGGGAGTTGTCATCGAACATTCACTCTCCCTATTGTTTTCAACATCAAAAAATCAGGCCGAGTACGAGGCCCTGCTCGCATGATTAAGGATGGCCGGAGACCTAGGTGCCCGAGAAGTACAAGTATTCACGGACTCCTAGCTTTTCGCATCTCAAATTTGAGGAGAATATCAGGCTAAGAATGATAGCCTCGTCGAATGCTTTAACCTAGTCAAAGAAAGGATGAAGAAGTTTGACCGGGCAGAAATCAAACACGTACCCCGCGAACAGAACATGCGGGCCGACATACTCTCATAACTTGCAAGCACAAAGAAAAAATGTAGGAACAAATCCATTATCCAAGAATTACTTTCTTGTTCGAGTATTGAAAACCCCACTGTGTCACTCGAGGTGAACTCCATCGGGGATAGTTCCTGTTGGATGACCATGGTATTTAATTATCTCACAAAGGGAGAGTTACCCGCTGATCAAAAAGAGGACAACGCGACCAAACGATGAGCCTGCTCTTACGTAGTATTCGAGTAGAAGCTCTATCGACGGGGATTCTCCATCCCACTTCTGAAATGCATCAAGGAGTCCAAAATCCATGAGTTCTTATGGGAAATCCACGAGGGAATCAATGCCTAACACTTGGGCGGAAGATCTCTGGCATGAAAGGCGCTGCGAGAAGGGTATTACTGGCCTACCATGCAGCAAGACGCAAAAGAACACGTCAAAAAATGTGACAAATGTCAAAGACACGCAAACATTCACCTCACACCCCCACACTAACTCAAAACATTATCGTCCCCATGGTTGTTTTCCTGGTGGGGGATGAACATCCTCAGACCGTTCGTACAAGGATCATATCAAAATAAATTCTTGATCGTGGTTGTCGACTATTTCACAGAGTGGATAGAGGTCGAAGCCCTGGCCAGAATCACATCACGCAATGTTCTTCATTTCTACAAGCGAAACGTGCTTTCCCGATTTGGCATACCATAAGTGCTCGTCACCAACAATAAGACGCAATTCACTGACCAAAGCTTCCAAGAGTTCGTCACCAAGCTCGGCACCAAATAACACTTCACGTCCGTTGAACACCCTCAAATTAATGGCAAGTTGAGGCCCCGAATAGAGTCATCTTACGAGGACTCAAGCGCAGGTTGGGCGAAGCCAAAAAGGGCCTGATATTGATGGCTCCACATTGTATGTCACCATCAGAATTAAAAAAGTTGAAGAATCGACTTGAAAATTTTCTTGAGAAGAGATTCATTCGCCCAAGTGTGTCACCATGGGGTGCACCAATCTTATTGGTTAAAAATAAAGAAGGTACAATGAGGCTTTGTATGGACTATAGACAACTGAACATGGTGAGTATCAAGACTAAGTATCCACTTCTGAGGATTGATAACTTAATGGATCAATTGGTTGGTGCAAGTGCGTTCAGTAAGATAGATTTAAGATCTGGACATCATCAAATTCGTGTGAGGGCCGAATGTATTTAGAAGACTGCTTTTAAAACAAGGTATGGTCGCTATGAGTATTCTGTAATTCCATTCAGTGTGACCAATGCACCAGGTGTATACATAAAGTACATGGACACAATTTTCCATCCGTATTTGGATAAATTTGTGGTTGTTTTCATTGATAATATTTTAATATATTCGAAGGGTGAAGAAGATCATGCTAAGCATATGAAAATTGTGTTAACAACATTGAGGTAAAAGTAGTTGTATGCTAAAGTTTCTAAGTGTGAGTTTTGGTTGAAGGAAGTGTGTTTCCTTGGCCATGTGATTTCGAGTGGAGGTATTACATTTTATCTGTCGAAGATTGAATTTGTGTCTCAGTAGGAAGCTCTGAAATTTGTCTTTGAGATTAGAGGTTTTCTTGGTTTAGCAGGTTATTATCGAAAATTCATTGAAGGATTTGACAAGTTAGCTTTGTTGTTGACACAAATAACTATGAAAGGTCAAGCTTTCGTTTGGGATGCAAAATGTAAAGAGGGTTTTCAAGAACTTAAGAGGAAGTTGACGACCGCTCCTATTTTAATTTTGCCTAATC